GGTCTAGGCCCGAAACGTCAGCCTCTCTGCTCCTATGATGCTGCTTGACCTGCTGTGTTCATCCAGCCCTGCACCTTGTTGTCTCGAAGATAATAGCCTAATGTTTTAGAGTTATATCTGTAAAGCTGAAGTGGCTCTGTTTAGTTTCAGCTGTAGAATGCCGAGGTTGAATAAGACAGAAATAGTATATTCCCAGGCCCGTTCGTCCTTATCAAGAAATCCTTGATTTGTGTGTTCCAAGTATAGCCATTGTTTAAACGTAACCTTTGTATTAGAGTTAACCTTGGAACAATGCATTTAATTTTTAAAAAATTTAACATATTTTTCCAAATATCCTGTTCAAAGATATTATTACATACCTCTGGAGCAGGTGGAACTTGAATCGGGTCTCTCGGTCCATGAGTAGGGACCATCGTGTCACAAGATAATGCTTTAGATTTTAACATATTCCACATAACAATTTACAAAGTTTAGTATTTTCTGCATTAGTTTTATCTTCACAGTGTAAAAGGGTAATGAAAACTGTTTCCAAACATTAAAATAAAGCAAAACCTGGGAAAGGCAAATGGTCAGTAATGTCTGATACTTTTCATTTGTGGGAAGTGGGTATTTATTGCCCATCCCTAATTGCACAGAGGGCGGTTAAGATCAACTGCATTGCTGTGGTTCTGAAATCACAGAAGACCAGACCAAGTAAGGACCGCAGTTTCCACCTCTAAAGGATATTAGTGAATTAGATGGGATTTTCCAACAATCGAGGATGGTTTCATGGTCATCATTTATTCAAATTTTATTGAATTCAAATTCAACCATCTGCCATGGCAGGATTCAAACATAGGACCCAAGAACATTAGAGATAACAAGGTGTAGAGCTGGATGAACACAGCAGGCCAAGCAGCATCAGAGGAGCAGGAAGGCTGACGTTTCAGACCTAGACCCTTCTTCAGAAAACCCATTTCTTGTTATCTCAGATTCTCCAGCATCTGCAGTTCCTACTATCTCTGACCCAAGAGCATTACCTGGGTTCCCTGCTTAGTAGTCAAGTGATAATACTTTAATGGGAACTTTGCCAAATTAAGTGAGGATTGAGACATGAGTTCAAGGATATCAATCATTGGGTCCTCACTTGCTTTTACTTTAACAAAGCTGTAAAGAAAATTTCAAACCATCCTCTTATCTTTGTAAAGTGACAAACTGAATAAAGAGGATGAATCCATGGATAACTGACAACTTAAACAACAAGTCAAGGGATAGAGGGAGGTTTTTTTTTCCTTTATTCATTCATGGGATGAGAGTGCCACTGGCCAGGCAGCATTTATTGTCCATCCCTAATTGTCCAGAGGGCAGTTGAGAGTCAACCACATTGCTGTGGGTCTGGAGTCACATGTAGGCCAAACCAGGCAAGGATGGCCGTTTCCTTCCCTAAAGGATATTAGTGAACCAGATGGGTTTTTTCCTGACAATCGACACTGGATTCACGGTCATCATTAGATTCTTAATTCCAGATATTTATTGAATTCAAATTCCACCATCTGCCGTGGCTGGATTCGAACCTGGGTCCCCAGAACTTTATCTGGGTCTCTGAGTTAACAGTCCAGTGACAATACCACTAAGCCATTGCTCCCCGTGGTGACGTCAATGTCCATCACCCTTAAAAGCCAATTAGAGATTGATCATGTGTCCTTAAATCACTTCGTAATAAGTCATGCTTATCCTACACCAAACAGAATGTAATAATATAATTGATCATGCTGTGGACTGTGACGTAGAAAAAGTTAATCAGCAGTAGCTTTCAGTGAACAAGGCGCACATGAGCAGGTTAACATTATTGTGCTTCCAATCGGAAGTGTAAGGTCCTGGAGGGAGACACAGTCCCGGTGTCAACCTGCGCCTTAGGGTGAACTGGAATGCAAGAGCTACAGCAGACCCACAGAATCACAGAATCCCCGAATCCCCACAGTGTGGAAATAGGTCCTTCGGCCCAACAAGTCCACACCAACCCTCACAGCGTCCCACCCAGACGACATTCCCCTAAATCTACACATTCCTGAACACTATGGGCAATTTAGCATGGCCAATCAACGTAGCCTACACACCTTTGGAATGTGGAAGGAAACCGGAGCACCCGGAGGAAACCCACGCAGACATGGGGAGAATGTGCAAACTCCACACCCTCGTCCGAGGGTGGAATTAAACCCGTGTTCCTGGTGCTATGAGTCATTCCCCTGCTTTAATAAGCCTGTTGATTTATTGGTTGAAGTCCCAAATGGACACATGAATATTAGTATTTGAGTTCAAATTATACAAGATTCTTAAAGCTTCCAGCTTTATGCCTGGAGACAGTTGCGGAGTTGAAACAAGTGGCAATGGTTCAGGATATGTAATTGCGATCCAAAACCAGAATGCAGAAAATCCCCATCTGCAAAATCTTGCTTAGCTTTGAGAGAAAGGAAATTGGCTTTTTAAGTCATCTGGTCTTGGCTGTCTGCCTTTCTCCAATTCTCTCAGTGAAAGAGGGTTAGGTGCATGACCTAAAGCCCATAACTTTTCCTAGCCCTCAAAACAAGTTACCTTGTTACATTGCAAGTCAAAACAAAGCAGGACAACCATTTCTGCCCTCTCCCAACTCATTATGTCCACCCTACTAGGTAGACATCACCAATGGAAATAAAGGAGCGAGAGATTGACTTTTCCCATTTTTAGCTGTGATTAAGAGTACACTGGAAAGCAAAGTGGTGCCTCAATCTCACAGCACTATTTGTATGTAGGTTCAGCATTAGTTTAAGGGATTATTTATAGAGTTGTAAAGATGTACAGCATGGAAACAGACCCTTTGGTCCAAATTGTTCATGCCGAACAGATATCCTAAATTAATCTAGTCCCATTTGGCCCATATCCCTCTAAACCCTTCCCGTTCACGTACCCATCCAGATGCCTTTTCAATGTTGTAGTTGTTCCAGTCTCCACCACCTCCTCTGGCAGCTCATTCCATACACGCACCACCCTCTACATGAAAAAGTTGCCCCTTTGATCCTTTTTATATCATAGAATCATAGAATCCCTACACTGTGGAAACAGGCCCTTCGGCCCAACAAGTCCACACCGATCCTCAGAGCATCCCATCCACCTATAATCTACCTAATCTATACATCTTTCCCCTCTCACCTTAAAGCTATGCCCTCTATTCTGGACTCCCCTATGTTAGGAAAAAGACTTTGGCTACTCACTCTATGCATGCCTCTCATGATTTTATAAACCTCTATAAGGTCATCCCTTAACCTCTGACGCTCCAGGGAGAACAGCCCCAGCTTATCCAGCCTCTCCCTATTGCTCAAACCCGGCAACATCCTTGTAAATCTTTTCTCAACCTTTTCAAGTTTCACAACATCTTTCCGCTAGCAGGGAGACCGTACTTGAATGCAGTATTCCAAAAGTGGCCTAACCAATGTCCTGTATAGCCACAACATGACATCCCAACTCCCATACTCAATACACTGACTAATAAAGGCAAGTATACCAAATGCCCTGTCTACCTACGACTCTACTTTCAAGGAACTTGAAACCTGCATGAAGACTAGAAAATATAAATTACTTCCAAATATGCTGTGTATCAATTATTTGCTTTTCAGATCTCAAAGCAATTCTCCATAAATATAATCAGTTAATAGCTACTTTCTAAGGAGAATAGTTGTTATTAAATTTTCCAAAACAACAATAACCCATTACCATAGTGTGAAGGAATATCTGCTTGCGCATGAAAATAACGAATGGCATACTTCAAAATTATTTTTTGCTAATCACCTGCCTTTTGAACACTTCATTTTATACGTATTTAGAGACTCGGGGTGCGGCAAACTGTAAACGACAACCTTTCCACTGGAAAATGCAGCTGCTAGCATACCAAGTCTTGCCATCTGAGGAATCTGGACAAGAAAAATATAAACAGGTAAAAATCAATAGACTTTAGTACTGCATTTCACTCATTGTGGCAGTTTAAATTTAGTAATAGCACATTCTTGGCTGAATCAGAAAGTTGTGGGTTTAAATTACAATCCAGAGACTAGAGCACTTAATGTCACCCAAACTTGGGAGCCTTTGTATAAGGCATTAAGCTTAGTCTGCCTTCTTGGAGGAATTGAAATATCCCCTCGTCTGCACTCTACAGGGGGGCTGGATTGCTCACTCCTCTGAAAGGAGGTCAGCCAGATGTTAATGCACTGTCTAAACCAGCTCCACAGCCAGTGTTAAGAAATAGGAGGAGCAGACTATACATTCAGCCCCTCAAGCCTGCCCTGTCATTCAACAAGATCATGGCCGGTCTGCCCTGAGAACATGCTGCTGGCTACAATCAAAACAAAAACAAGTGGGACCTCAGCGAGAGGTAGCCCCATGCTCAGGAGCCACTGGCCAAACAGACTGGCCAGCAGTTCCACCTGTCTTGGCAGGGCCAGAGCTTAGTAATTGGTTTGTGGAGTGTATAATTCTGATCAACAGGACTGCTTAAAGCCCCACTTACCCTTAATTAATTAAATGTAGCATGTAAGCTGTCAATTTTAGTGATTGCCCAGCTGGTGTTAAATGGTGGGTTAGTGTCGGAATGGGCAGGGAGGCAGTGGATTTTTTCATTTCCTCCCCACATTGAAAGCATACCAGTTGGGGGCATGTAAAATCCAGCTCTGTATTTCTATTCCAAAAATAGCTGCATTCTCATGATGATCTAGTTAACATTACTTCCTGATCCAAGATCACTCTTTATCGCTCTGCCAAAAATCTGTCAGATACCTTTACAGTTACAGTAGTCACTACTAAAGTATCCCTGATTGTGAAGCACTGAATACGAAGGACTGAACTCAAGCTCTTTATTAGACAGATTTTTGATGGTTAATGGGAGAAAGGGAGGAAGGAAAAATGTAATATACATACAAGCCATGATCTTAGTGAATGACAGAGCAGGCTCGAGAGCAGACCAACATTACCAAAATGTCTTTCAAAAATCATTAAATCTTAATTAAATATCAAGCACCTCTGGTAAATTTTGAATGGATTTCCACAACAGGAATATACTTGATTAAAACATTTCAATATATACATTTATTGGGGACAGTAGGCTGGTTTTTCCTCGAGACCAATTCAAAATTTACTAAGTATAACATGAACAACAATAATCCCATAATCTCTTCAAACAAATGTAAAATTCATTGATTTGTCTTCAAATATGTCTGTTTTTTATTAAAAAAAAGTAACTTATAAATAAATTAAATAAATTTTAACTAAGCAGGTAAAATACCTTTCTAGTGGTTTCCGGCAGTTCCCATGCACCACTGGGACACCACTTCATATCCCAGATGCAACCGTACTCTGTGGCAATACCATAAGCTAAAGCAGCATTCATTTGAGGGCTATACAGCAAGAAGTTACAATTACTACATTTTGTTTTCCACTATATAAACACAAGCTATATGAGCATTGATACAATGCAAAACAAAATCAGGAATTTATTACAAAAGAAATATAACAAAAACACTCAGTGAAATTCAAATTTCCCCACATCACCCCAGAGGCAGGGGCCCTGTATAATGGGATGGGAAGAAATGGTGGAGGTCCTACATCTCCATGACTCCCTAGGGTGGGTGCGTATGGCTGATTGTGGGTGGAGGTTTGGGTTTGAGGGTCTGGGTGTGTGGGGAAGGGTGGGAGTGAGCGGCGGCGTGTATGTGTTGGGGGGGAGCAGTGTGTATGTGTTGGGGGGGGCAGCGTGGTGTGCACATGTGGGCGATGCGTGTTTGTGTGCGCGCACACAGGGTGGCAGAAAGGGGTCTGCCGAGAAGCTAACCAAGGCTCTTAAATGGTCACATACGGGCATCATCCCAATGCGGATACTCAACCAAATCGGTGGTGGGGACATCATCAATACATTAGTGTTTTACACCCGTAGAACTGGCAGGAGTTCTTCCTGTTTGGACAGATCTGCTACAGGCATGGTGAAGATACTTGCCTCTTACCCTGGAAGGTAACCCTCATTCCTCTCCAGAGGTTAGCTCACTGTCCTTGGCAAGCCTGCCTTACTGACATTCCTTCCAAACTCCAGTGATGATTCTAGGCCTAAGCCTCCTGTATTAGCAGTATAATTACACCATTTAAAAGACATCTGGGATGGGTATATGAAGGGTTTAGAGGGATATGGGCCAAATGCTGGGAAATGAGACTAGATTAATTGAAGATATCTGGTCAGCATGGACGAGTTGGACCGAAGGGTCTGTTTCCATGCTGTATATCTGACTCTCAGTCACTGCTTCTCTCTCTCGCTCTCTCTCTCTGATTGTTCAACAGCTTGCACAGCATGATATCCACTGTGACAAGGACAAAAACCCCAATGCCAACCAGGTAAATGCCTCATTGGGATTCAATTATTTTGGGAGTTTGGAATGACAGCGAAGGTGTTGTCATTGACTCTCCAGCTGGACAGGCCCCTTCTGCCAAGACAATTAAAGACCAACAATAGTATTTGATCAGCTATGCTGAAGACTAATAGCATTTGTTTCTTTCCTTATCAGAACATCCTGTCTGATCTCATTGATTCAATGTCATCTACCGGCTATTAGCTCAGGCTGAATCATGCATAAAACTCTGATCCTGATTGACATGAAACTTAGTTTCAAACTCCAAAGCTTACTGATTACCAAGATCACTTACTTCCAATTTCACAATATTGTTTGCCTCAGTCCACTAATTCACCACAGCTCAAACCCTTTACCTGTGCTTCAGTCTGTCTCCTTTAAGTGCAATTTTTTCAATGACAGAATCTTTGCCTAACTCTCTTGACAATTGGTTGGCAGTTGTCATCCCTTTCCTGATGAGTTCTGAGAAAAACAAAACATTCTTCTACTGCTCAGTGCAACCTTTATAACTATGCATAACTTCTTCCTGCTATGGTCAAATTTTACTTTTTAAATATTCAACATGAATTAAATTCTGATGGGCTGACATATCCATTTATTTGATAATTGCATCTATTTATTAACTATTGTTATAAATCGTAAGGCCAATAACGGGAAGCTCCCTTAAGCTCAGCAGAAATCTTTCAATTTTTTTTAATCGTGTTAACATTCATGCTTGAAAACACACATTTAATGTTTCCAGTTAATTAGAGTCAGAGTCGTACAGCATGGAGACAGAACCTTCGGTCCAACCAGTCCATGCCGAACTTGATCCAAAAGTAGACTACTCCCACCTGCCTAGTCCTCGCCCATACCTCTCCAAACCTTTCCTATTCATGTACTTTTCCAAATATCTTTTAAACATATAGTTGTACCCACATCTACCACTTCCTGAGAAGTTCATTTCACGCACGATCCATCCTCTGTTTAAAAAATTCACCCCTCATGTCTTTTTTAAATCTTTCTCCTCTCACCTTAAAAATATGTCCCCTACTCTTGAAATACTCTATCCTAGGGAAAAAGACAACTACCATTAACTCTATCTATACTCGTATTACTTTATAAACTTCTGTAAGATATTCTCTCAACCTCCTTTGTTCCTGAAATCCCTGCCTACCCAGCCTAACTCAAACCTTCCATACCTGGCAATATCTTGGTAAATCTCTTCTGAACCCTCTCCAGCATAATAATATCCCTCCTATAATTGGGCAAACAGAACTAGACACAGTATTCCAGAAGAGGCCTCATCAATATCCTGTACAACCTTAACATAACATCTCAACTCCTATACTCAAAGGACTGAGCAATGAAGGCAAGGGTACCAAACACCTTTTTAAGCACCCTGACTATGTGTGACGCAAACTTCAACGAATTACGTACCTGCACCCCTAGGTCTCTCTGTTATACAACACTACCCAAGGCCCTACCATTAATTGTATAAGCCCTACCCTTGTTTGTTGTACCAAAATACAATACCTCGCATTTATCAAATTGAACTCCATGTGTCATTTTTCAGCCCCTTGACCCATTTGATCAAGAACCCTTTGTAATCTTAGAAAACCTTCTTCACTGTCTACAGTGCCACCAATGTTGGTGTCATCCGCAAACTCACTAATCATGTCTTCTATATTCTCATCCAAATCACATATATAAATGACAAACAAAAGTTTTGTTTCACAAAGAATCCAAAAATAAAACATTTTGGATATAGTTTACTTCTTTCTTCTCACCATTGCTCCTGTTGGAGGTCTCCCAGTTGCCAAATCTGAAGTAATGTTGGCTCTGTATACTGATCCATCAGTTTATGCCTATCATCCATTCTTTTATTGCAATAAATAGCTGCGTACTGGCAAGCAGCTGAACCCTCGGGGGTCGGGCACCACTCCACACACCATACAGGACCACCTACAAAGAAGTTTACATCCCAGCGATCTTTATGAGCAGGTAGTGACTGGAATCTGCAAAATAAGAAATATCTACAGTACCAAAACAATCTATAAAATCAGGATTAAATTCCTGCTCCTCTCTCCTGTCAAAAACAAGCACTATCAATAAAGTATACGCCTCTAAATAGAATGCATATCAATGTCAATGGGCCAAAGTGACCACAGCAATAAAGGCAACACTTTTTGTTTATTTTATTTGAATTCAGTTTCATTCAACAATTTGCATTTCTATAGCAGCTTTAATTTAGAACAACATTGCAAGAGGTATAATCAAACATTTTCTCCTCTTGTTTGTACTTCACTTTTTCAATTTAACACACATAGGATATCCAGCCAGCCATCTTAAATTTCTTTATTGGTTGAAGACCTGCAATATTAAGATGTCAGCATAGCAGTAACATTGCTAAATTAGAAATCTAGAGGTTTGGAGTAATGGTCTGGGGTCATGGGCTCAAACCACCCCGCCCAAGGGTATTAAATTTAATTAATAAAATCCAGAATTGAAAACTAATCTAAGTAATGGTAACAATGAAACTATCATCGACTGATGCAAAAACCTATCTAGTTCACTTTAATGTCTTTTAGAAAAGGAAACCTGCCATCCTTACCTAGTCCGGCCTCTGACTTCAGATTTCCAATATTGTGGTTGACTCTTAACCGCCCTCTGAAATGGCTGAGCAAGGAACTTAGTTGAAGGGCAATTAGGGATGGGCAATAAATTCTGGGCTTGCCCGTGCCATGATCCCATGGAAGGACTTTTTTTTTTTTAAAATGACAGAGTATCTGACGGAAAAAGGCTGCATCAAGAATACGTGCTAAACCTTTCTTTGATGTAGATGATTTTGGTTAATAGTCCCACTGACTCAAGAATCAATCTTCCACATGAAATAGACCGAATGTCTGCACAGACTTGCTCAAGTCAATGTAGTTATAATTTATGTTTACTGTCACCTAGTAATTACCTCAGAGGTTTGCCCAATATCCAATGTGGACATGGTGAAAGATTAGAGGAGAAACTCTGGAAAGACATACAGATGGAGTTTCTTGAGATCTTCAACCAAAGGTGTGGCAACTTATTGATAAAAGTTCAAAGATCATTTTCAGCAAGAACATCCATAGGTAGTATGTAATTCAAGCTTCTGCCAATTCTTTTGTTGGGAGCAGGAACTGGAGTAGAACAGACATAAAACTAAAACAAAGAATCGTGGATGCTGGCATCCGAAACAAAACCTGAAATTGCTGGAGAAAGTCAGCAGATCTGGCAGCATCTGAGGAAAGAAAGCAGAGTTAACATTTGGAGTCCAGTGATCCTTCTTCAGAACAGACATATTTGGGGGAGGTGTTCATCCCTCAGAAAACTATGATGTTTCATCAGAATCCAAGCGCCTGAAAAATTACGCTGCTGCTCTCTCTGCAGATACTGTTGGACCTGCTGAGTTCTTCCAGCACATTATATTTTATTTCAGATTTCCAGCAAGGACACTACTTTAATTTTATATCAATCAACACTGCTCATTTAATTAATGAAAATTTGTCTTACCTTCTCAGTCTCTGAATTACAGAGTTTTCTCGAAGACCTTCCCTTTTAATTTTAAACATTGGTGAGATTCCTTCATTGGGCAAATACCTAAGTGATTCACTAAAAGAATATAAATTGAGTTTTTATAGGTTTTGACCAAACACAACTACTAAATGCAGCTTACATGGTCTATTTTATCACGCTGTGCATGGAATAGGTGGAATTAAATAGGTGACTCATTTTGATATTGCTTTCAGCAAATATTCAGGGATTATAATATTAGATGCTAGAATTGTTAATAAAACTATAGCTGCTTCAATCACTAACATACAAACAGGGAACAAGAGTAGGCAACTCGCCCATTTTCTCATCTCCGTCGCAATCAAGAATCTAATCTGTTCTGTATTAAAAATATGTAATGATTATGTGCCCACTGCTTTTAATAAAGGGAATTCCAAAGACACACAACCCTTAGAGAAAAAAAAGTTTCCTCATCTTTGTTTTAAATGGGCACCGCCTTGCTGTTAAACAATGACCTTTGTTCTGGAATCTCCTGCAAGAGGAAACATGACTACTCGCATCAAGACAAAAACATAAACACTTGGATAGGTTTCAAATTATGTTGTCTCTCTCACTAAGGAACAAAGCAGTGCAGATAATTAAAATTTGTGCAAAGACACAGCATTATAAATGAGAGCCGATTTTTACCCCAACAGATCCTAGTTGCTCAAATGCACACAATTACAAAGGATTACAGCACTGTTTAATGACAATCCACACTATTGACTTATACAGGTGTTATTGTCCATATGAGCTTCCCCTTATTTCATTTGACCCAAACTGATCAAAATGTTATTCAATTCCCTTCTCCCTCATTTATTTATCTCAGATTTCCTTAAACGCATCTGTTATTCATTTGCCTTAAACACATAACTATCTCTATTAGGTTTCTTCTCCTTTCAAGATAAAAGCACTCAAACTGTTAAGTTTTTCCTGATAGTTATACCCTCCCAACTCTGACATCAACCCTGTAATGCCTTTTGGTGATGTACGAGCAGGACCTGTGGCTTTATGTTTACAAATAAGTGAAGTTGGCAGGTTGATAAAGTAGTTGAAAAGGCATTTGGGGTCCTGGATTTTATAAACAGAGGCAAGGAATATGAATACAATGGGAATGTTTATATAAGTTTGGTTCAGTCTTAGTTCAGGTATTGTGTCCAGTTCTGGCCCTGACACTTTAGGAAGAATCTAAAGGTTTCAGACAGGGAACAGTATAACTTTACAAGTATGGTTTCAAGGACGAGACTTCAATTACGTGGCTAGATTGGGGAGGCTGTGGTCATTCACTTTACAGAAGAGAAGGCTAAGAGGAGATGTGATGAAAATGTGCGCAAAATGGCAAGGAGTCTGGACAGAATAAAGGAACCAACGTTTTTTGACAGAACATATCATTTGGATTTGGAATGCACTTTCTTACAGTGTGGAGGAGGCAAATTTTGTTTTGGCTTTCAAAAAAATGAGTTGAAGAAACACCTAAAGATAGAACATTTGTAGGGCTATGTGGAATGAAGGCAAGAGTGGGACTAGCAGCAGCCGGCATGGGCTTGGCAAGCCTCTTATGTGCTGTACTTATTATACAAGGTAAATAATGCAGAAGAGAACAGGACTTGGAATTCCCAAAATCAGAATATGCCCCCTTTCTCGCAATCAGAAAATAGATTCACCTGGCCAGATCAGACACTTCTTGGTGCCAAAATGTGGTTGTAAGAACATTAAAGAAATTAAGGTATACATAATCTTTCCTCAATATTTTACAAGCACTTATGGTAGGCATAAGTTAAAATTTTCAATTGGAGTAAATCAAATTTTAATGGTATAAGGCAAGAACTTTCACAAGTTGATTGGAGTAGACTGTTCGCAGGTAAAAAGATGTCAGACAAGTGGGAGGTGTTCAAGAGTGTGATACTGAGAGTTCAGAGGCATTTTATTCCTGTTAGAGTACAGGATAAGGCTTGTAAGATTAAGAAACTATGGATGAATAAAAATATTGAGGTTCTAGTCAAGAATAAAAGAGAATTTTTTCAAGATATAGACAACTTGGCTAAATCTCTTAACTAATATAAAGAGCGCAGGGGCATTCTTAAGACAGAAAGGTTAAGGTTAAGGATAATCCAAACAGGCCCTACAAATACATTAAGAGCAGGAGGGTAACTAGAGAGAGGAAAAACTCAGCAGGTCTGGCAGCATCTGTGAAGAAAAAAATCAGAGTTAACGTTTAGGGTCCGGTGACCCTTCCTCAGAAATCAAGAATTCACCGCACCAGAGACATTAACTCTGACTTTTTCTTCACAGATGCTGCCAGACCTGCTGAGCTTTCCAGCAACTTCTGTTTTTGTTCCTGATTTACAGCAGCTGCAGTTCTTTCAGTTTTTAACTAGAGAGAGGGTAGGGCCTCTTAAAGCTCTAGGAGGTCGTCTTTGTGTTGAACCCCAGGAGGTGGGAGAGATACTAAATGAGTATTTCACATCAGTTTTTACTGTGGAGAAAGAAATGGAGTCTAGAAAATGCAGAGAAATAAACTTTGATGTTTTAAAAACAGTTCACATTACAGAAGAGGAAGTTCGGGAGGTCTTAGAGGATGTAAAAGGTGGATAAATCTCCGGAACCTGATCTAATGTATCCCAGAATGTTGTGGGAAGTAAGGGAGGAAATTATGACAACCTTTGCAGAAATATTTGCATAATCTATAACTACGGGTGAGGTGCCTGATGACTGGAGGGTGGCTAATGTTGTACCTTTATTTAAGAAAGGTTGTAAGGAGAAACCAGGGAACTAAAGACATGTGAGTCGGACTTTGGTTGTAGGCAAATTGTTAGAAGTGATTATAAAAGATAGGATTTATGAACACTTAGAGATGCAAAAATTGATTAGTAGATGTTCAGCATGGTTTTGTGCGAGGGAAATCGTATCTCACAAACTTGATTGAGTTTTTTTGAGAAAATTACCAAAAAGATGATGGCAAAGCAGTAGATGTTGTTTATTTGGATTTTAGTAAAGCCTTTGACAAGGTTCCGCATGGTTGACTAATTAGTAAAGTTAGGTCACATGGGATTCAGGGTGAGCTTGCCAACTGTATACATAATGGACTTCACAATATGAGACAAACAGTAATGGTGTACGGTTGCTATTTGGGCTGCAGGCCTGTGACCAGTGGTGTTTCACCGGGATTGGTTCTGGGTCCTCTTTTGTTTGTCATTTAGATAAATGATTTGGATGAGAATATAGAAGGCATGGTTAGAGTTTGCAGAAGACACCAACATTGGTGGCACTGTAGACAGTGAAGAAGGCTTTCTAAGATTACAAAGGGATCTTTATCAAATGGGTCAATGGGCTGAAAAATGACAGATGGAGTTCAATCTGGATAAATGGGAGGTATTGCAGTTTGGTACAACAAACAAGGGTAGGGCTTATACAATTAGTGGTAGGGCTTTGGGTAGTGTTGTCGAACAGAGGGACCTAAGGTGTAGGTACATAAATTTTTAAAGTTTGCGTCACATATAGACAGAATAGTTAAAAAGGCGTTTGGCACACTTGCCTTCATTGTTCAGTCCTTTGAGTGTAGGATTTGGGAAATTATGTTGAGGTTGGTGACATTGGTGAGGTCTCTTCTGGAATACTGTGTCCAGTTCCAGTGGCCCAGTCATAGGAAGGATATTATCAAGCTGGATAGGGTTCAGAAGAGATTTACCAGGATGTTGCTGGGTATGGAAGGTTTGAGTCATAATGAAAGATTGGAAAGGCTGGGACCTTTTTCCACTGGAGCAAAGGAGCTTAAGAGCTGACCTGAGCTGACAGAAGTTTATAAAATAATGAGGTATAAACAGGGAAAAGATACCTGCCATCAACTCTAAGATGGGGAATTTCAAGACTGGGGGCATATTTTTAAGGTGACAGAGAGAGATTTAAAAAAAGACACGAGGCAATTTTTTTTTAAACACAGTGGGCGGTTCATGTGTGGAATGAACTTCCTGTTGAAGTGGTGGATGCACGTATAATTACAATGTTTAAAAGACATTTCGATGGATATATGAATAGGAATAGTTTGGAGGAAAATGGGCCAGGAGTAGGCAAGTGGGACTAGTTTAGTTTAACATTAAGATTATGTTCAGCATGGACCGAAGGGTCCGTTTCCGTACTGTATGACTCTATGTAACTTCCCAGATCTGCCAGGGTCAGCAACAGAAGCTCCGCAAAGCATATCCGGACTTGCAAGTTCCTTTTAAGAATGCCTTTAGCTGAAAGGGGTTTGAATTCCGAAGTAAGCAAAATTATGCTTCAGTTATACAAAGCTTGGTTAGATCTCAAATTGAGCTCACTATTTATATTCTGCCTCCCCGACTTCAGGAATGTATATAATAACTTTAAAGAGGTACAATATGTTCACTAGAATTATGCCAGGCTTCAAGGTTTAAATTATGAGGACAGGTTGCATAAACCTGCCTGGTATTTCTTTGCATTTTTAATACAAAGATGTGATCTTTAAACTGGGTTGGGTACTTGGAATATGATTAGAGGTACAAAACAGAAATAGGAACCAAGGTACAAAAAGTAGTTTACAGGATAAATCCAAAGTTAAAGCTTCTCTCTTCACAGACACTGACATTACTCATGACATTTACTCAACAGCAACACTTGGGGTTTTGGTTTTGTTACTGCAACTAGCCTTATAAACTATCAATCTACAATAGAATTGTACAGAAGAGGCCCTTTGGCTCATCACATTTGTACCACCAAAGCTGCATGAAACCTGCACGAGTTCCACTTTCCAGCACCAGGCCAACATACTTGAATGTTATTACATTTCAAGTACTCATACAAATACTTTTTAAACATTCTGCCTTAACTACCCTCTGAGGCAGCGCATTTCAGATACCCACGAACCTCTGGGTGAAAAAAAAAATGCCTCCTCAAATCCCCTCTAAACTTCCTTCCACTTTAAAATTATGCCCCCTTGTTGTCAACTCTGAGTAAGGGGAACAGCTGCTTTCTATTCACTCTGTCCGAAGTGCCTCATAACGTTATACAGACTTTTATTCGGTCCCCCTCAACTATCTTTGCTCCAAAGAAAACAACTAAAGCTTATCTAGCCTCTCTTCAGAGTTGAGGTGCTCCATCCTTGGCAACATTTTTATGTGTCTCCTCTGCACTCCCTTCAATGCAATCATGTCCGTCTTACAGTGCAGAGATCAGAACTGCACAAAGTACTCCAGCTGTGGCCTAACCAAAGTCCTGTACAGCTCCAACATAACCTTCCTACTGCTACAATTTACACCTTGACTGATAAAGGCAATAGCTGCTGTTCTGTTATCAAATAAATTGTTACTAAGTTGCAGTATCACTTACGGTAATGGAATGTTTACAATGAAAACCCATATACAGCCTCAGCAGGCACTGATAGTAAATCGAACATAGAGATGCCGTGAAAAACTGTTGAAGAAGAATTCTCAACTTTGAACTTAAATTTAGTGACTTAATCATTATGTTTAATACACAGATAACACAGATGTGCTGCTAGTTCAAGTGTATAAAGAAGTGGTTTTATAGCTGTAATTTCACAATAAAATTATCTGAATTACCTTTGTGAAAGAAAACTCCAGTCCTGCACTGAAGGCATCCAATGTGGAAACACCCATGGGGAGTGATGTTCCTCTCGACTGTTGAATGTAAAACAATTATTGCATTTAGTTCTATTATGTACTTCTATATCCAGATGTTAAGTGCATGGAAAATGTAAGAAAAGGATATTATAGAGCAATTGAATTTTTAAATTTACGGCATTTAAACCCAACTGCTCAGGAGCCTTCATCTTGACTCGGTCTTTTCTTGACTTCCATTTATCTCACTAAACTAAAGGAGCAGTGCTCTGAAAGCTTGTGATTTCAAATAAACCTGTTGCACAATACCCTGGTGTCATGCGACTTCTGACTAATCCCACGCAACACCCTGGCTAGGTTCACTCTCATCCGTATTTGCATATCTCCAAGGATACTTGTACTTGGATTTAGATGGTCACCCGAGGAATGTTACAAAGCTCTATTGTTCACTTCCTCTTTTGTCTTGGGTGCATATTGCCCTTCAATGACATTATTCACAAGCATGGAATCAGCTTCCATATGTATGCTAAAGCAGCTCCATTTCTGTACTATCCGCTTTCATTACATGATCACTGTTATCATATTAACACGAACAGAAATTGCTAAAAAAAAATTCAGTAGGTCTGGCAGCATCTGTTGAGAGAAAGCAGAATTACTTTTTCCGGTTCAGTGACCCTTCTTCAGAGCAGATTGTAGCTAGGAAAGATTAGTATATACACTGAGGGGTGGGGGAGAGTAGAAGAATAAACAAAAGGTGGAGATTGAGCCCAGTGAGACAGAACAACAGATGAGCAGACAAAGGAATGGGTAAAGGTCAGCCTGGGAGAATCAATACTTGGTAATGGGAACCATTAGTAGCAGACACCCTGCACCTTGTTGTCTTGTAGCAGACAATGGGTTGGTTGTGGTAGCAGCCACGTGATGACAAGGACTGTTTCAGAGATAATAGGAACTGCAGATGCTGGAGAATCTGAGATAACAAGGTGTAGAGCTGGATGAACACAGCAGGCCAAGCAGCATCAGAAGAGCAGGAAAGCTGACGGTTC